AGACATGAAATTCTGATTCAATGCACATCTACTCATTTCTGACAGCTAAAAGGTAAAAACAAAAATGGGCCAAAATTAAAACAAAGAAATAGTGTTAAGAATGAAAACAGCATTTTATGCTTCATTTTCTAACCATTTTTGTGTGCTACAACAAACTGTATAAATTGCCACTGGGCATTATGCACAAACATTTTAAAAAAATGTCAACTTCCATGAAGATGTCTATTTTGTTTTACCACAAACTAGAAACCAGCTAGACCATCCTTACGTTAAAAAATATAATAACTCAAAAATTGAGAGGGTGCATCAAGGCAAAGTGAAACCTGCTGCATAATATGAAAATATATTTAACGCATTTTTAATGCACACATTTTCCTTTTACAATTTCTTTCAGTAATGGCTCAAGATATGTCTTTTTTTATAATTATTTTTTTTGGTATAAATTTATTAGGAAACTGAGGCTTGCAACTCTTATCTTCACAGAGTATTTTGTTGTGTTCACTTAAATTTCCCTGTAGGATCAGTGTTGGTGCAGCAAACAAAAGAGAATGTTTTACTATTTTCTGAATCTCATAGCAGGAAGAGAAAATTATTTCTTTTTACACTAACAAGTGTATTGTTATCACAAAGGTAGATTTACCAAAACAAAACCAAAGGGATTTTGGGCTACATTCTACAGAAAGCTATCACACAAATCTCTCATTTTAATCTCTTTTTTTTGGTAATGGTGATAGGGTCGAGCTTTAGATCAAAGAAAATTTACACTTTATGAATATTTAATTCAAAAACTCCTGAACAGGAAGATAGTCAATTTGAGACAAAGGTTATTTTTCACACCAAAATATTCGAGCACCGAATATTTTAGATATCTTAAGAATTGCTTTCATTCGGTCTTTCTAATACACTAATGCCTTGAATAAATTCAAAAGGAACCTGAAAACCTTCACACATTTGGTGCCACAATTACTACACTGCAAGCAATTACATTTTAAGATGAAAATTTTCATAACAATAATTTTTCAGAAGTCAATTAAATTGCTGAAAGGAGAAATTCACCTCTTACTACCTGGGTCTGTTTCTAGCATGTGTATGCTTCAACCTAGAATGTTTGGAAATCAAAAATTAGTTCAGAAAATTGCCCTATAGTTTATCAATTTAAAGAAGAAAATAAGAACTGCCATTTAAGTTTCATTTCGGTGTATTCCTTCTTCAAAATATCAGTGTGTGAGATTACAAAAAGACAAAATTTACATTTTATTTTCTTTATTCTCAGGCAGATGTTTGATTTTTTTGCAATAATGTAAATTACATGGACAGAAAAGTTTTACATTGAATTCACTTTATTACATGCTTATTTTTGTCCATGAATCTTCTCAAAATCTAAATTTGACAATATATTATAATTCTAATATAAAAGTGATGTTTTCTGTGAGTGAAAGGAATATTTGGCACAATTTGTCAGTTGGTTATGAACACGGCACAGCAAGAGTTCACTTCACAGTTAAATTCAGTTCTGAAAACAGAATTGCATGATGGATTTAAATTAAAAAAATTATTTCGGAGAAAAACACAGTGTTGGGATCACTGCTTTTAAAATGATTAGAATACAATAGTTCTAACAAACCTTTTTGGTAGAAAACGATGAAGGGAAAGCAAAACAGGAGAATTAATTTTGGATATCTTGGAATTTGTTGAATCCAAATTGCATTGCTTTAGTGAAGTGAAAATATAAACAAAGTAAAAAGCACATTTTTGTTGCATTTACGCCATAAATATTCATACACCTTATCTTATCTGTGAAGAATTCTTTTGCCTACACACCTACATAACACAAAAATGGACATTTGAGCAAGTTGCACATTATCTTTCCGAATTTTTTTTTTCAAGCAACACCTTCTTATGACCAAGTTGAACTTGTAGCCAAATCTACAATCTTCATGAGCTAAAGATCCTGAAGGATAAACTAACAGATAAAAATATAAACCAAAAGGATTTTTAATACAAAGTACTCAGGAAAAACAGGATTTGAATATAAATGAAAATTATCATCGCTTGAAAACATATATAGATATGAATTTTTTTGTCAGTGACCTGCTGAGTTGTAGGAAAGTATATCCTGGATATCACATAACATCAAACATGTATAAACCATCTTTAGAAAATATATTGCTTCGCTAAAATGTGGCAGGCATATTGACTATGAAGGCGAAATGGGCACGAACCCACTAATTGACAGATACCAGCTGTTTTTTTCAGTATGTGTCCATGTTTAAGTTCCTTTAAAATCATTTATTGATTGAAACGTGTCTAGACCAAACATTTGTCAAATTGTAAACTGGCTGGCCAATAAAGCCCTTAGTTTAGCAGTTTGCACTCTGACAGTTTAGAGCCCCAAGTTGGAATAAAAAATATTGCTTTCTGAGGAAGAATTCTCATAAATTCCAAACAGATCTTGAAGTGACCCCCTGGTATTCACTACTCTCATAGATGAAAATTAACCAGTATATTAAAAAATATATTTGAGTTTCTGTGGTTACCGCTGAAAATTCCATACCTCTAAGCATCTTGAGCACGTGCTCCCCCAAGTCAGATTTGTTTTAAGAGCACAAAAAACTGACATCTACCAAACAGTTTAATTTGCCTGGTAATCTTATTAGCTGTGGCCGTTGAATTTCCAACAATCCATTGTACTTGAAATGCAGCCTAAATATTGTTACTGTAAAACTGTTTTCACCATAATAATTTTTCCTACCAAAATACGTACTAATAAACTTGAAAAACAGCAGTTGCTAAAAAGTTCCTACAGTTTACTCAAGAGTTTCATTTACTTCAAAACTGTTGTGATTTAGTCCAACAAAATCCTAATGGATGGAAGTGGATTTCTAAATCTAGCAAAATGTTTTAAAAATTCTTGGTCAACACACCTTATTTTTTACTGGAAATGTCCTCAAGCTTATTAATGATTTAAATTTTTCATTTTGTTTCTCTCTACAACTTGTAAGACTTCAACAAACTCAAAAGATATGTAATAAAGCCTGCGTATAATCCATTTTTTATCATCTCGAAAGGTTATATGCATGTTCTAATGGTTATGGTTGAACATTTGAAAGAGTTGTCAAAAAGCATCTTTTTCTCATAAAAATCTATATAGATGACCATTAAGGGATAAATATAAAGTACAACACAAAATCTTGCTAATGCTTAAAATATTTCTTAATCACTCTCTTCTCTGAATTTCTTTCATTTACTCGGGCAGACAATTTCTATTAAGGTTTTTCTCACCTAAATATTTATTGGTTTTTATCCTCAGCAACAATTTGGAAGGAAAGTAGTTCACACAATAAAGTTGTAATTTTAATGAAATTTCTTTTTCAGCCAATCAGAAGCACATATCTGAACAGACCTAACCCTATACCATAATGTCAAAATAGATTCATTAATTTCATTTTCTTTCTTTTCTGGACCAAAAACTGGACCTCACAACACCTGTAAATATTTCAATGAAATAAACCTTCTTTAGCACAGCAGCTGTTTTTAAGAAACTAATTTCACTGGACAAAGATTTGGTCTCAGCCTTCACCAAGGCAAATCAAACCAAAATCAGGCCGATAGAAATATTCTTCAGGTCCATGAAATATTAAATTAAGGAAAAAATAAACTCAATCAGGCGTGTCAAACGTAATCTTTGATCGCCTCAGCGATAAAGCTTGCGGCTAGTATATTCATCAATTTTTAAAGACATTGTTACCTCAATCATATTCCTGAATCTTGGGTCTTTTTTTCCAACCACGATTTCGGCGTTTTCCTCCTCTGGATCACTGTTTGCAATCCCTCTCAATTAAAAAATCTCCCTTCTTGATATTTTGCACAAAAACTACAGCCTTAATTAGGAAACTGCGAAAATAAACACAGAAGCGAAAGTAAATTGAACTCCAATAGCTATGTAGCTGTCTAGCTACGAGTTGTATAAACGGAGAAATTTGTTGAAGTGGGTTTACTCTGTTACATTCTAAATATTTATCCCTTGGGCACGATAAAAAAGATGAGAAAAAAAAATTATGGAATAAAAAATAAGTAAAATAAATAGAGTTTTCCCCAAGGAAACTGACAATTAAAATATTCGACACAAAGTGAAATCAATAATTATTGATCAAACGAATGATTCTCGAATGTTATCTACTGAATTTTTTCCCAATCATCGATATTTTGAACAAATGAAATTAGTAATTTTATCCGTCTTCTTCGACTGTCTTTTATAATGGCTCTCGGAGGGGGAAATGAGTTCAAACAGAGCAGAAAACATTACGATCAAAACAACTCAAAACAACAAAAAAATTACCAACACAGAAATACACTGAAGAAAAATTTAATGAAAGAAAAAACGAAGGAGGAAACCTGCTCTATCCTTTGAGGAAAGAGCGAAAATCCGCCAACAAATCAACAATATACATTAAAGTAAATAATAAAGATTGAACTAAAAGAAATCGTGAACGACGACTATTATACCAAGCTGTCAAACAAGTGGAAACAGGGTTCTCACAAAAAAAGTTCGATACTCTGAAGAGAAATAAAGCTCGAATTACCAAACAAACACTTTAGTTTTAAACGTAAAGATCTGGCCTAAACTATAACGAAGAAATCGTTAAAAGCCAGCTGATCTTCGAGAATTCCGGTATACCGTGAACAGACATACTTGTATTTACCTTCGTAATTAACACACAGCGTCAAAGTAAAATCTAAATTTTTAAACTATTTTCAACAGTAGAAAACCGTTCGCCGGCCGGCAAAAATCGGTTTTTTGGTCACTAAACTAAGTTTAAAGATCAAACAGAAACCTCTGAAATTTTTACTTAAAAGGGGAGAAATATCAAAATTTTGTCAGTAGCAGCTTGACGTGAACGGAAGGGCGAGGGGTCGACTCGCCATCTTTTCTTGGCACTCGGTGATCGATGAATGTTCCTCGCAGATTTCAATTCAAGTTTTCTCTAAGAGCTTGAATATTATTGCTTCTTAACGCTTGGCGTCTTAAATGATACTTGAAGAGGGGGTTTGTCCTCGTGCCCGGCAATCCGTTGACCGTTCAACCCCGCGATTGCTGCTTGAGCATCATCATAATTTTGCATGTTAACGAAGCCAAAGTTTTGGCCCTTCTTGACTCTCACATCGGAAATCGCGCCGTATTTTGCGAACAGTTTGTACAAAAGCTTCTCTGGATCAATTTTAGCTGTCCCTGTGTCGTCTTTATCCGAAGGCAAGCCATACACAAATACACAGTAACTACCCGGAACGAGTGCATTCGGCGTAAAAGTGTTGTTGTTTGGGCTCTGCAAAAACGTGAGCGGTGAGTAGCGAAAGTTCGCGCCTTGGTGATAGAGAGGTCCTACCCCGCTGGCAGTGAATGGCGATCTTACATTTCCACGAATTTGTGGAGGTGTTAGGCTAAGCGGTGATTGAAAAGCAAACGGAATCTGAGGCTTGTTGCTTGGAGGATTGGCGAACTTTACGGTCAGTTTTGAAGATTCTGTGGGACTTTCACCCGGTAACTGTGCTCCATTCAGAGCGTCGATCGCAGCTTGTGCCTGAGAGCGCTTGTCAAAGCGGACGAAACCAGCGCCACGACTCAGAGAATTTTCGTCTTTAAGTACTTTCGATGTTATAATCTCGCCGTATTTCTGAAAGAGCATCTCTAGCTGTTGCTCATTCATTGTCTTTGGCAGTCCACTAATGTACAGATTGGCATTTTTTATGTCGTCGGACGACGGACGAGCAAAGCTAACTTTGATGTTTTTGCTCTGAACTCGCAGCTTGTTCAGCTCCCGTACCGCTTTTGAAGCGTGCTCCGGGTCGGCATAATTTACGAACGCGTAGCCAAGGCTGTTCCCAGACACTTTGTCCCGAACTAGTTTCAACTGTGAGACGGTGCCAAATTCTTCAAACAGGGTTCTGAGTTCCCCTTCCTTCATTGTAGGCGGTAGATAGTTGATGATCAAGTTCGTCTTGGAATGGTGACCGTTTTCAGTACCATTTTCCATAGAATCGCCGTTGATTTGCACGGGAGCTGCACTGTCATTCATCTTGTCCAACATTAAGAACGGTATTAAAGCAAGAGGGAAACTCTTGGAAAAGATAACGAATAAATTATAGGGTCACCAAATGAACTCGATCGTCTCGAAGATCAACCGAACGTCAAAAATTCGAATGGGAAATGAACTGTCAGAGATGGCGGCAAAACTTATTTATGTTCCACGTGGTTAGCCCTATGACAAATTTCCCATTGCAATGCTATACCCTCTAGGAATAATAACAAAGTACCCACCAGGTGTGGGTGAGTAATTGCCTTTCGACCAGCGTTGTTTTTGATATCTTTCTGGCGCTAGCTTATCTTGATGACCATTCGCTAAACGGTTTTTAGTCTAATTACGTTAAAGGGATATTTCAGTATTTTATCTTCGTCGACAGGAACCTCACTTTGCCATTGTTTACAAAATGTAAGAGGGTGGGGTAGGGGTACAAACTTGATGGCGGCTAAAACAAAGGACCGGAAAATCGGAAATTGCAGCTGAATTTTGCGTGGTTGAAATCCTTCAAGCGGATAAATATGTCTGATCTCCAGCTAAAAGGATTATTCTAACACATTTTAGCTTTATAAATTTCATTTGAAGCCTTTAAAAACTGCAAAAAGTGCAGTAAAATCCTTTGACAGATGAGTAGGGCCTGTGCAAATTATACCGAAATGTACATTGTTTATGTCGTGTGAAGTGCTTCGATTTTCATATACTCATTTTTGTCGTTGCGGATTAATTGTACATATTCATTCCATTGTTTAGTTTGTCAAATTAAGGTGAAAGCGTCGCTTTGTTGTTTTGCTTTACACTTCTCGATTTGACGTCTCGGCGCCTCTGGCAAGAATAGAAAACCCGTTGGGTTTGGACAATATTGATATTCCAATTTTGATGTGGAAAATCATTCCACCTCGTTCATTTCCGTTGTTTATCCACTCGTTTAGGATCTCAGTCTCAGTCGCTCGTCGTTTTCAAATGTCATCGAATACAGGAAACTGTCAGCGTTGTCGCTATGGTGTTTTAGTTTGTGATAATCAGGAAAAATGGGGTGGTGTACGTGGCATAGGAAAGCGATTTATTGACGCCTTCGGAAGTGAGAGCGATCCCGATCGAGAAGAATGGCATATCTTTTCCGCTGTAGATGGCGAGCTGCCTTCGGAAAAAGATTTGGATACTTTTAATGGCTTCTTCATCTCGGGAAGTCCTCGATCTGCCAACGATAACCTTAAGTGGATCAATGATTTGAAGAATTTTATCTCTTCAGCGGCTAAAAGCCCCTCGAAGGCTCGTGTCGTGGGCGTCTGTTTCGGTCATCAACTCATTGGTGCCGCTCTTGGAGGTGAAGTAACCCCTAATCCATCGAAGAAATTCGTTTTACAGAGCGAGGAGATCAAACCGGTGGAAGATTTTCAAGGAAATGAAGCTTTCAGAGAGCTTATCGAGTGCCGTGATTCTCTACGACTGCTTGAGTGTCATGGAGATTGCGTTGCGTCCCTCCCCCCTGGGGCTACAAGTTTGGCGAGCTCTACAACCTGCCAACACGAAATGATTCAGTTTGCAGAAAATATATTTGGAATTCAAGCTCATCCAGAATTTACTGTGCAAGATTACAAAGAATTGTTAATTCCCGATTTAGTAGCTGGAGGAAAGTTAGACGAAAATGGTCAAAGAGTTTGTGAAGAAACCATTAGTTTGCCTTTGGACTCAGCAAGGATGGCGGCTGCACTCAAGAAATTTGTCGCCAAAGAAGACAATTAACAACTTAACGGGAACTTTCGGATGGAGTCGGAACTTGAGTCATTACAAGGCGCCGAAAAGGGAAATAATATTATTGCCCTGACGGCTAGACTAAGCCATTTAATACCTGTGCAAAAGATTCACACATATTTAATTCACTTAATAATTAATTTTCATAATTTTTGAGCTATTAAATGGCTTAATCAAGTATTTTGGCTAGGACAATCAGATCACCTGTTATTTTTCATACAGTGATGTCCTGATTTTAATGCCAAATAACACTTTAATACTACCAAAGGGTGCAGGGGGGTTACTTGGGTCAATTTTTGCTGGGTACTGCCCCTGGCTTCTCAGAACCCCTACCCCATCATAGTCTATTGTCTAGCCAATTATAGAGCCCATCTTTCTAAGTGGCAGCGTGCAAAGAAAGTACTGTTCGATAGCCCAGGGCTAGTGGATTTTGGTATCCGGCTAGTGAATTCTGTTTTTAACTTGCCCGACGGGCAAGTGATGTTTTATGAGGAAATTATTTGAATAACAGAGGAACAAAAAGTTTTTGGGGCTAGTTGAAATGACATCTGGGCTAGTAAATGCTAGCTTCAGCTTACCCGAATGGCAAGCTGTAAAAATGATTTTCTTTGCACCCTGAGTCGCTTTTGGGCAAATGTAATCTGCTTTGCCACTTTCTGCTTATACATCTACCTTTAAACTGGTCTAGTAGGTCAGTCATCCCAAAACAAATTCACACATTAGGTTTTCAAATTCCTAGATTCATAAACTTTTTTGACCCCCAAATCCCTAAGTGCGACCCCATTCTAGTAACTCTTTTGAAAACATAACCCCATTAGTCAATGCAGTCATGAAAATGAGACCCCATCCAGCAGCACATCCTCATTAGCTTTATCCTACTACTTGAAATTACCCTACTCTGGATTAGTACAGTGGGACAAATATGACCTACAGGTATCTGGTCACCTCGCCACCAAACTGTCTCACCACCAACAAAATCACCACTAAGAATAGAACTTAGCTTAGCAATGGAAACTTCAATGGAAATTTCAAAGAAGTATAGCTAGTTGTTGTGAAACATTCTGCCAGTTTTTTAAGACGTTCGACACAAGGATCATCAATTAGGATTGACAAAATATTTGGTTGCTTTTAAATTTGAATAAGCTTGACGAAAAAGTAAAAATCTTAGCTAAGTAATCCTAGGTCAGGGGCGGATCTAGGGGGAGGGTGCAGGGGGTGCGCACCCTCCCCTGAGATGACCTATGGTTTTTTAATACAACTGGTATTTTGAAGAAAAAAAAAAAAAAACTATGTGGTTTATTGGTGTTGAAGTAGAGCAAGAGACGAGTGCACCCCCTCCTAAAAAAAATCCTGGATCCGCCCCTGTAGGTATTAAACTGTGTCAATTATCTGAGAGTCATTTGTTGGTGGCGAGTTGACCTTTTGGTGGCAATATCATTGGTGGAGGGATGACCATAAACTGACCCCCATTTGTTCATAAAATCCTGGTGGTATTTTAATTCTATTGTACTTTTTGATCATCAGCTCATGCTTAGGAGTTCCCCCTGGAATTTCTAGTACTCGTAGGGGGGTGGTAAAAGATATTTTTGTGCCTTGCAATCAGCCCTTTTTCCCTTATGAATAGTGATTTCCTTTCTGGCCGTGATGCACGATTTTCCAAAATATTTTTTGTGAAATAATAAATATTAATGTTTAATTCACCATGAATTGTGTTCTCACTGTTTGTTATTTTCATGAATTATGAAAGAACCATTTTTCCCCTGAAAATGTGATCTAGACCACCAGCCTTTGCCACCCTTTCAGAGGGGTGTTTTTGAAACTCCTGTCAATTTTATATGGAAAATCGTAAGTAGAATGTGTAATAACTTTTTCCAATCAAGATTGCCAATATTTTGTTATACATAAATATGATTTTTCTTATCACAATGATTATCATGCGTATTTCTTTATATTCTGTAATGTGATCGTAGTCTAGTCATGTTTGTACTGTATAAATTGTACAATTGGTGGTAAAGAAATTCAATAATGTAACCATAATTTACAATAACATAAGTCAATAAGATCATTGACAAAAAAAATGATATTTTTCTACCTAAATTTTCTTTAATACTATATAACAAAGGCCATCTAACTGAAAATTACAAAAAATGCAGCTATTTTCTTAAAAAAATACCAAGAACTGATAAATAAAAACATTTTTAATATGTTTTTTGTCACCGTCTAAGATCAATTTCCTATGCTTTTGATTTTAAGCCAGAATTTCAGCTGTTCCCTCGAGTCAGGAGTTTGGGGAGGAGATACCTGAAGTTCAGGCTAGTTTTTTATATGGAAATGGGGATATTCGTGATGCAGTATTTGCCTTTCAAATTCAAGGCAAGGAATGGGATTTTCGAGCAAAATGGCAGCGAGATTGAAGATTGAAAGTATGCATGGGATGTGGAATGCCACAAATATAAACCATGGTATAATCCACCTAAAGGATTACAGAATTGAGTGAAAATTTGGGTTAGGTTGATGAGATTAAAGAATCCTCGGGCTCTTTTAGATATCGTCCCAATGAAAAATCAGGAAGTTAAAAGATCTCAGTGTGCGTAAAAACTTCTTCGAGGTGAGGGGAATTTTGAGGACGAGAGCTACCCCCTGCTTTCTTACCGTTTTCTGCCCAATAAAACGTTATTTTAGGAACTAAGGCAAAGTTTATTTTTATCGGGCAAAAACCCGGGAGATGGGGGTGGGGGGGGGCGGTGGTGTGGTCACTCAACAAAGTTTTATACCGGGAGTCTCCCCCCCCCCAAGGTCCGGCCACTTACCCTTTTTATATACCATTTTTGACAGAAAAAGAACCCCTTCCTTTTGACAAATGGTTCCCCTTTCCATACCTAGTTTAAAACTTTGCATCCCTTTTAACTGCTAAAGGATCCTAAAATGCGCTGTGTCTTACATGTGAATAAATTACAAAACCAGAAAGTTTCCTCGACTTTTTTACAGCCATAAAATGCATCTGTTGCGTTAGCCCCTCTGACAGATTTTCCTACCCTTTTATATACTCCAACCAACTCCTGCTGACTAAAAAAGGTTACCCCCTTTGGGCGGAACCTCTCCCAAATGGGCCATTATGGGGAGTACCCCAGGGGGCAGGAAACCTCGTTAGAAACGAAAACAACAAAAGGACATCTCTTTGTAAAGTATGTACACTTAAATGGCTGTTTATGTGCAGTTTAACCGCTTTATCGATCTTACCAAAAATTCCCATGCAAATCCCTATCACTTGGCTTCGACTGAGTTGACTGTTGTGAGGGCTGGGTGCCCTGTGTGCCTGGACAATTGCACAGTGACGTCACCTTACCACAACTACCAGAATCCTACAGTTTTATTTGTTGTTTTTTTTTTTTTTGGGCAAAATAGGGATATTGTTTTTCAGTCAGTGGGATTGACATTTAAATAAGCGAAGCATAAACGAAGAGAATTCTGGAAGTTCGGTAGGCTTCATCCTGAAAATGGCCTATTTTCTTAGCTGTCTTAAACCAGCAATGTAAATGCAAACTGCTAGGTTACTCGGTGCCAAACGAAATGCATTTTAACATCGAAAACACAACAACAAAAAAACGTAAATATTTAATAACTAAGTAAACAACTGATTAACCGTGGATGGAGCGTTCAAGAAAATGCGTTTGCACAACACTCGATGATATTTTGAAATTTCCACCTTTATTAACCGGTTTTGATATTTTTCATTTCCACCCCAGGCTCATGGTTGGGACTCCCTACATTTTCCCTCCCCTGGGAGCAGTTTTGTCCCGGAAGTACCAAGAACCAGCGGGCAGGACTTGGGATTTGGATCCCGGTTGCATAAATCCTACCTCGGACGTGATATTCGCTGTATCTTCTCTCTGACGTTTACTTTATAATTAGCCAAACTCTTGGACGCTTTCCATTCAGCCCAAAATTCCGGAAATTTCGGTTAGAAATAAAATGCAACGGACCATGTCGGTTCAGTCCAACCGGAATATTTGGGACCACCTCGGGGGCACCCAACGAGAATATAGCTCACAATCACTTTAACATAGCATTGTTCAAAGTATTTTAGTATTTAAACGGTACATATAGACATATTTTTATCCCCTAAAAATTTTTCATACGTTCGGATTTCCTACCTGAAAGTCCAGTGATCCGAAAATTATAGTTATCGAAACTTACCTTTTCGAAAATTTCAGCCAGAAAAAAGGCTCCCGAGAATTGTAGGTGACCTTTTCAGGGTAAAATCCGTTAAAAATAGGCAATTATACCACCTTTCAGATTTTCGAAAATCCTAGGAGAGGTGGGCAAGCAAGAAATTTTACAACAAATGTTCCGAAAATTCTAGATCTCAAATCGTGTTCCGAACAGATATTTTCCGAAAATTGACGTTGGGTGCCCCTGACCACCTTTTAGGCCTTAATTTTTTTTTCGAATAGTTTTCCTCTCTTGGCTCGTAAAGCGGGTGTTATGCAGGCTAAAATACATTCTTCGCATGGGAAGATGCCGCACCGTGCTAGGGACTAGACAAGTTCTAGCCTGCTTAAGGTGCCAGTTTTTTTGGCGGGAAGGAAGAAATCTCGAGGACGCACGTGGAGAGAAAAAGAGAGGAGGCTTCCTTTCCAGTTCGCGTGTTCTTCTCGCACTGCCTGTATTAGCGGAACTCTCGCGTCAAGCGAGCGTAGCGGAGCACCATGGGTACAAACATTTGGTTATCCATGCATGCGAGAAATTTTGGTGTAAGATAAGCCTTCGAAACTGCTCGGAAACGCTTACTACGCAGGCTAGTGTGAGATAAGCAATCCTCTTCCATAGTAACCACGCTCGACTGATACAGTCCTGATGTTTTGCGTGAGAAGTTAACCTTAGGCCTTGGTCGTGTAATCATCTAGAATCGTTAAATAATACATCCTTGACTATTGTACTTGGCCTCAACTCTTCGTTTCTCCTCCGATAATCACACATTTTGTAGGCACGTGACCGTACGTCCATCAGTCCGTCTAGGCAAGTTCTTACTTTATAGCACCGATATGCACGTGGCGGTTTCATTATAGCCTGCCGTATCATGATCAGGCCATCTTCAATGTTCCACAACATTTCGAAAGGAATATGTTTCTAGTTTGCGGGTACCGTCATTCGAGAAAGGCCGAGAATCGTCATTTCAGACAATTATTTCGTTTTAATATTTCGGAACTGCATCACTGACTGAAATTTCATGTTTTATTTCAACCTAATCCCTAACACTAAGGGTAAAATGATGTAATTCAATCAAGAGGTTTTTTTTAGTACTTCAATTCAACAATCCGATCTTGACAGCATCTCTCAATGGTCATCGCAAAACAACATGAACCTAAACCCCGAAGAAGTGCAAGGAGATGACGATTTGTAAGCTTCGAAATCGAACTAAGAACCTGATCTTCCACCCTTCTTACCAACAATCTTTCTCTTAAAAATGTGCCAGATCTTATTAACGGCATGCCCAGTGCATTGGTTCTTTAGTTTAACAAAAGATTTTGTTTCGCTAGATTTAAATGAGAAACCAAAAAAAATTTTGTAAACAGTGATGTCTCTAATTTTGCCCATTTGCCATGTTCCCGTTGAAGTTGGGCGTTTTCTAGTACGGTACGTGTTCTTTTCCGTCATTTTGAGTAAGCGAGGCGCAAAGTTTCAGATCTTGTCGAGATGAAGTGACTTGAAGTGTTGTAGGTGACTAAATAAGTCCTGCTTCTTACTGGCGGATTGCACCAAAAGAAGAGGCAAAAGAACTGCATGCTACTGATCTTTTCCCTCCTGAACGTTGCCATTGCGCAATTTTTTCTTGCTTAATTTTCCTGGCTCCACTTCGTTTTAATTGTTGCTTCTGATCGGTTACCATTAATGAAAAGTAATTCTGGGCCGCTAACGTTGATGGGCTGGTAGATCTGGAAAAAGGAATTTACCTGCTCGTTGGAGTGGGGTCGCAGTTGATGCACTTAAAACAGAAGGCAACGCCTTTAAGGAAGAAGTCGGAGCGTTTGTTAACCAGGGCATGATTGGATCTTACTGTGCCCAATAAATTAAAAACTCTCTCTAAGTTACGCTGATTATAAAAGAGTGAGTCATTTGCACAAAAAAATATGGAATTGGAAAAAAGTTTTCCATCCATCAATTTCAGCTGAAAATGCCTCACGATGGTGCTGTGCATGCGCACTTCACACTATTCTTTCAATGTCTTCTTTTCTCCTTCTAACACATTATATTTTTTCTTTTAAATTCCTGTAAGTGTACATTATGCAAATATTTTGAACACACTTCTGTAAAACTCAACCGCCAGAATTATTGTTCGATGCGTTGTGCTCTTTTGCGCGGGCATTTTTGGTGCGTTCTGCGCCATAATTCTCTATGATTAGCATTCTTATATTAACAAGTCTTGAACATGTGCATCATGTACAAAAACGTTAACTATTTTAATGGTAAGAAATGGCCGAGAATGATGAGAGACGAGGGAAGCATGAGGAATTCGTTGTCATAACTCGGTCATTCCAACCAATTTTCAATTGAAGCTCAGTAGAAGTGAATACGCATAAACCCTAGCACTAAAGTAAGTCAAGTAACAACCCACGGCTCTCCTGCGGATGAAGGGATGGGGTTTGGGGTAGGGGGGGGGGGAGCTTAGGAGACGTATATGCAGACGTAACAGAAGTAAACCTAGTGGACATGTAACATCCTGGCCCACGGTTGTTCAAAAAGTGGATGAAGCAGCTTTATTCTTAAGAAGTCGCAAAAACAACTGCACTGTCAACTAGATAGGAATTTATCCGCGACGGATAGCACTCAGCATCTGGGGCCTAGCGGTACTGCAAGCAGGTGACAGAACTTCCGATTAAGCAGGTTGAAATCAAGCCAGAAATAGTGATTAGCCATGTGTAACCCGGAGACGTTAAGCTTGACGACAACGAAATTCTAGTTTAATTGTCATTTTGGGGAGGCGAAGTTAAGCAGTCGCATTAGCCTTGGGGATGGTGGGATTTACTTGTTTGCACTTGCATTAAAAGTAAATGGCCCGGTCATCGTCGAGGAAGAGTGAGGAGAGGTACGGGAGTTCCCAACAAAGAAGTGGCCCCTTATCTTTAGATTAATACGGGACTTTCGATTTCCCGCTAAAAAGGAGATTGCCAATACCATTTCCCGCCAAAAGCGCGTCATGCAATAATTAAGAACATGGCACTTTACACTGGATTACTTAATGAGATGAATTGCATTTGGTCACTCGCCAGCTGACTCGCACGCACGGTGATGTCACAACCATCAACGGGTTATCTCTTGGTTTCATTACTCCAGGCGGCCTATAAACACCTAAGCGGCCTATGTCCGATCTATGTCTCGGATCCAACCTCGTTCCCAGAACGCAGGGAAAAGCGCCCTGGAGACGAGGTTGTCTCGGATCACGTTTTCCAAGCCCATGCTGTTTGTCCCCTCGCCGTTCATCGGCTAGTAAGGGACGGACCATTAGAAAAGTTATGGGGGAGGTGGGAATTTTCGAGCCGCAGGAACTTTTTTTAGTCATCAAATTCCTTGCATTAATTTTTTTTAGGTCGTAGCATGAATATTTTTTAGGGTTAATTGGCGTGCATGAATTTTTTTTCATTTAATTTTCCCTTGCGCGAATATTTTTTTTTGTACTTCGCCCGCCCCCCCCCCCTCCCCCCATAAGTTTTCTAATGGTCCGTCCCTAACTGACGACACTATTCTTGGATTTCCCACACTATCTCTCCCGAGTTAAGCCGGATTTTTTATGTCTATTGGTGGTAAATTTTGATGCATTACTGAATAGCAATAATTTTCACGACTGACCCATCATCGCTCGACGAAAAAAATGGCGCGGAGAAAAGTAAAGAACCCGAATGCGACTGACCTATCTTTAATTATCTGGGAGCCGGTTAACGGGAAATTTTGTTAACAGTAGTTAAAGTAAGGAGCGTTAAATTGTTAATGAAATTTGCTTTTCCACCAATCTCTGCTAATCAGATCGGCCAAGCACAGCCCCAAGCTGAGCGCAAAACCATGTCTTTTCCCCTGATGTTGGGGGTGGTTTAATACAGATTTAAAATCAGTTTATTGTTCATCTTTGAAATGTCAGCAGACAATTCAAGGATAAACCACACTCGCTACACTCGCTCGTGCATTAGTTTGTAATGACAATAAAAAATTCGGTGGTGTTATTGGTATGGGAAAACGATATATCGATGCCTTCCGGAAGTAAGAGCAACCCTGACCAAGAAGATTGCATATATTTTCCACAGTTTACGGCGAACTGCCTTCGGAAAAAGATTTAGATAATTTCACTGGCTTCTTCATTTCCGGAAGTTCTCGGCTTCCAAACGAAGACTTAAAGTGGATCAACGATTTGAAGACATTTATCCCAACAGCTTCCCAATGCCCTTCTAAGACCTTCTAAACCTCGTATTGTTGGCGTCTGTTTTGGACTTCAGGTCAGCGCCTCGGCACTAGGAGGAAAAGCAACTTCCTTTCCGTCGAAGAAATTTGTCCTGCAAAGCGAGAAGATCAAAGCTAACGAACATTTTTGTTTTCAAGGCTATAAAGCTTTCGGAGAGCTTTTTGACTTCCTGAGTCCCATAGGGATTTTGTTAAAATCCTCCGTGCTAAAGCTCTAAGTTTGGAGAGCTCTGCAACCTGCGAACATGAAATGGTTCAGTTTATGGAAAATTTGTTTGGAATTCAAGCTCATCCAGAAGTTAATGTGCAAGATTTCAAAAAGGTGAGAATTCCTGGTACGTTGGCTAGAGGTAAAATTGACAAAAAAGGACAACGATTTTGCGAAGAAACTCTTAGTCTGCCATTGGATTCAGCAAAAGTTGCGCTTCCAAAAAGGATCTTGCTGAAATAAAAAAAACATTGTCAAGTTGAAGGAGTCATTGCCAAATTATAGCGATTCTTTTCAGAAAGGATAATTGTCTAAATTAAGGGAAAAGTGGCATGATACGAGTATAAAGGTTTATTCAAATGCAATCCGTTGATTTTTGTTGGGTGTCTAGAAAACGAAGACCGAAGACCGAAGAACTGGGAAGGGGATTTTTTAGAGCCGCATGAATTAATATTTTTCTCGTTATTATTTCCTTAGCATTGAATTTTAGGAGGTCAATATTGTTTAGGGTTATTGGCGTGCGTAATTTTTCTGGAAGATTTTGCCTTGCACGAATACTTTTTTTAAAATGTACTGCGCCCGCGCCCTCCCCCCACCCCCAAAAAAAAAAAACGTTTCTAATGGTCCGTCACAGTTATCACCGCTGTTTGTTTTTTATGTTCATGTCATGACAGTGTGAAAAGGGCGACAGTAGTGGGTAAAGTTCAAAGAAGAAACAGATATCGAGCCTTCTTTTACAATAGGTATTCACAAGACAACCATCGTGCCGGACTATGAACTTTTAGGAGAAGCAGAATATTTTCCCCGTTTGACAGGGCATATTTCATAACAAAACAAGGTCTTACAGAACTGTAAAAGAAACAAAGGTGAAGAGCATTATCTCGTCAATGTTTAGCGAAACAAGTCGGCTACGGTTTTTTTAAAATTGCAAGGTCCGCAGTCCCAAAGTAGTTGCCAGTGAATTTAGACAAGTGTTGAAATTACCAGCTGCCTTAACGGGCATAGTTGGAATTTAAAGATTAAATTGAACAGTGTGCTTTTTTTCGCTTTGGTTGAGTACCCCCTCCCCCGGGGCGTTTTACATGGATTAACGATCTGAACGATGGAAGAAAATTTCTAATTACGTGTGTTTGTTTGGCTTCAGTGAACTGCTGACCGCGAATCGTTTCCGGGCTTTAGGTCTTGGGTCCTAGGTCTTTTCGTTTTCTAGGGTGTTCGTTTTCTAGGTCTTCCCTTTCTGGGTCTTCGGTCTTCCTTTTTTTAGGTCTTCGTTTTCTAGACCCCCGATTTTTGTTTTGGTCTCTAGGAGCAACGTAGCCCGGGAGGGGTAGTTTAGGAATTTCTGGGTGGGGATGTGCCGCTGGGACCCTGGAACCCTTAACCTATACCAAAACTAGTTCACCTGAATTCTGCTACCCTATACTAGAGTAAACTCCCCAAATGCCCCCTATCCTAGAGTAGCTGTTTTCCAGAAACTACTGAGGTCACTAGCACAGTCTAGCCAAAACAAAACCTTATACCACAATCCCTAGTCTAGATAAAATCTTCAACCAACTGATCAGTTTCCTGAAAAATGATACCCTATTCTAGACCCAAACGCTCTGATTTATATACCCTGTCCTAGAGTAAACTGCTTGAAAACCAAATCCTNGATCTCAGTCTCAGTCGCTCGTCGTTTTTAAATGTCATCAAATACAGGAAACTGTCAGCGTTGTCGCTATGGTGTTTTAGTTTGTGAAAATCAGGAAAAATGGGGTGGTGTACGTGGCATGGGAAAGCGATTTATTGACGCCTTCGGAAGTGAGAGCGATCCCGATCGAGAAGAATGGCATATCTTTTCCGCTGTAGATGGCGAGCTGCCTTCGGAAAAAGATTTGGATACTTTTAATGGCTTCTTCATCTCGGGAAGTTATCGATCTGCTAACGATAATCTTAAGTGGATCAATGATTTGAAGAATTTTATCTCTTCAGCGGCTAAAAGCCCCTCGAAGGCTCGCTTCGTGGGCGTCTGTTTTGGTCATCAGCTCATTGGTGCCGCTCTTGGAGGTAAAGTAACCCCTAATCCATCGAAGAAATTCGTTTTACAGAGCGAGGAGATCAAACCAGTGGAAGATTTTCAAGGAAATGAAGCTTTCAGAGAGCTTATCGAGAGCCGTGATTCTCTACGACTGCTTGAGTGTCATGGAGATTGCGTTGCATCCCTCCCCCCTGGGGCTACAAGTTTGGCGAGCTCTGCAACCTGCCAACACGAAATGATTCAGTATACGGAAAATATATTTGGAATTCAAGCTCATCCAGAATTTAATGTACAAGATTACAAAGAAGTGATAATTCCCGATTTAGTAGCTGGAGGAAAGTTAGACGTATATGGCCGAAGAGTTTGTGAAGAAACCATTAGTTTGCCTTTAGACTCCGCAGGGATGGTGGCTGCTCTCAAGAAATTTGTCGCCAAAGAAGGCAATTAACAACTTTACGGGAAATTTTGGAAAGAGTCTGAACTTGATTCATTACAAGGCGCCGAAAAGGGAAATAATATTATTGTCCTTACAGCTAGACTAAGCCATTAATACCTTAAAACCACAAGCAGCCCAAGCTCGAAATATGAGCATCGGCAGGAGCCCGTCATTTGATGGGCTCCTGGCATCTGTGAACATAGGCATTGTTGCGTAACATTCGAAATATAAGGATTTGTATGGGAAAAAAACCTATCGTTTCTGTAACCTACGAAAATGAAAGGATTTCAATCAAAAACAGCTTACCTTACTTAAAATGTGTGTTACATCTCTCCCGTGGGGTCCACGGGCCGATTCATGGCCGTTTTATGGGTTTACGTTGAACGGTTTTCTCGCAATCAGTAGATATTAAAACCTTTCTGTAGAGAGAAAACCGTTCACATAAAAACCCATAAAATGGCCATAAATCGGCCCGTGGACCACACAGGAGAGGCGTAACACACATTTTAAGTAAGGTAAATCCTTTCGAATGTTACGTAACAATGCCGACGTTCGCCGATGTTCATATTTCGAGCTTGGGCTACCTGTGACCAGAATAAAATAATAATTAATTTTTAATTCGCCATGAACTGAGATTCTCACTCTGTTTGTTAATTTCTTGAATTATAAAAGAACCATTTTATTTCCCCTGAAATGTGATCTAGACAACCCTTTCAGAAGGGTGTTATCGAAACTTGTCTCAATTTTATATGAGAAATCTTAAGCAGAATGTGTAACAAATTTGTCCAATCAAGATTACCAAATTACTTGGCCTACACTCTTTGTTTCGTCAGGGGCACCCAACGACAATTTTTGGAAAATATCTGTTCGGAAGATGATTTGAGATCTAGAATTTTCGGAACATTTGTTGTTAAATGTCTTGCTTGCCTGCCTCTCCTAGGATTTTGGAGCCCCTTAAAAATGGTATAATTGCCCATTTTTAACGGATTTTTACCCTAAAAAGGTCACCTAGAATATTCGGGAGTCTTTTTACTGGCTGAAATTTTCGAAAAGGTCAGTTTTGATCCCTATCATTTTCGGAACACTAGACTTTCAGCTAGGAAATCCGAACAGATGAAAAGTTTTTAGGGGATAAAAATATGCCCACATCTACCGTTTAAATACTTTAATACGTTCAACAACGCTATGTTTAAGTGGTTTTGAACTATATTCTCGTTGGGTGCCCCTGTTTCGTCTTCGGTAATCGCACATATGGTAGTCACACGACCTTCCGTCCGTCCACCCGTCTAGGCAAGTTCTTACTTATAGGGCTACTCTACACTTTGCACCTGGCAGTCCCATTATATCCTGGGTATCATGATCAGGCCATCTTCAATCATGTTCAATGTTCCACAACAAGTCTAGTTTCTAGGTACCGTCATTCGAGAAATGTCGAGAATCGTCATTTCAGACAACTATTCCTCTTTAACATTTGGAAATACGGCGCTCACTGCATCACTGACTGAAATTTCATGTTTTATTTCAACCTAATCCCTAACACTAAGTGTAAAATGATTTAAGTCAGTCAAGAAGTGTTATTTCGTACTTCAATGCAACAATCCGATCTTGACATCACCTTTCAGTGGCCATCGCAAAACAACATGAATTTGTAAGCTCCGAACCAAACCTGATCTTCCACCACCCCTGATCAACAATCTTTCTCTTTAAAATGTGCCCGATCTTATAAAGGGCAGCGCATTGGTTCTTAACAAAAGATTCTTTTGTTTCACTCCATCAAAATTTGGGTAACAAAAGCAATGTTTGTAAACAGCGATATGTCTCCAATTTTGCCCATTTGTAGTTCTTCCCTTTAAGTTGGGCGTTTTCTCGTACGGCACGTGCTCTTTCCGTCATTTGAGTAAGCGAGGCGCAAAGTTTCAGGATGCGTTTGTTTGCTCTCTTGTGTGTCGAGATGGAGTGATTTGAAGTGTTGTACATGAATCGTGCTCCTTACTGGCGGAAAATGGCGACGCGCAAATTGATATTGCACCAAAAGAACCGCTACTTATCTTTTGCCATTACGCAATTTCTTCTTTCTAAAATTTTCTGGGTCCATAGAAGCGCTTTGTTTTTGTTAATGCGTCTGATCGAGCCTTCTGATCGCTTACCATTAATCGAAGATCAAAAGCCACTCTGGGCCGCTAACGTCGATCAGCTGGAACATCTGGTGAAAAGATATTTACTTCTCGTTGTAGTAGGCCGCAGTCGGATGCACTTAAAACAGAAGGCAACGCCTGTGTAGAAGAAGTTGGAGCGTTTGTTGACCGGATCATGATTTGATGTTTTTCTAAATTATAGAGAGGAGTTTCGGTCTTTACAGTTAAAAACTTCAAGTGTACCCTGTACAATTGCAGTTAGGGATTTCCACAACCGGTTACTCGGCAGCTCGGCAATTTTTTGGCAACTTCTCATGATCATATTTCGAGCAACTTTTTGGATTCTGAGTAATTCCTCCAGTTATCTTCTAATTCTGAGATATCGGAGCAGCTTTTAGTGCTAACATTGGCCCTTATTCCATATTTCATAATGTTTTAGTAGACAATTTATGAATTTCCTGTAAAAATTAGGAGCCAAAACCCTCCCCTCTGGGGCGGATCATGGCACAGGCGCCCAAGCTCGGTGCATAAATTACCGCGAGTTTCGATACTGTTTTGCATATTACGAACGATTTAAAGACTTTGTATGAGAAATTCAATGTTAAAACGTACAAATATAGGCATGAATATAGAAATAAATTTTACTTACGTCAACTTGGGCCTGTTGTTGCTTTTTCTGTGTAACCGGGGCTCAATTCATGGCCATTTTATACGGTTTGGCGGCTCGTTGTTTGTTCGGTGTTGTTCTCCTCCATAAAGCGAAGCAAGGCAGGTGACTGAGTGCAGTTTCAACTCACAAATTTCTCCCGCATCAAAGAACCGCGCACTGATTCACCGTCCAAATCCTTAAGGCATGGTCAGTCTCTCATCTCTTCCCCTAGTCATGGGTATTGTGATGCGTTTTTAGAGGGAAATCTTTTTGAAAGTTTTTGCATTCAGAAAACTCGATGGACACGTGTTGAGTGGTGAACACAACCATTGACTCAGGGGAACCGGGTAGTCAAGATTGTTCCCCCACCTGGGAAACACATATCCCTAGTGATTCGTGTTCCCCCACCTGGGAAACATATATCCCTAGAGATTCGTGTTCCCCCACCTGGGAAACACATATCCCTAGTGATTCGTGTTCTCCCTCCCGGGAAACACATATCCCTAGTGATTTGTGTTGCTCCAAATGGGAAACACATATCCCTAGTGAAAGGAAAAGTTATGGAAGGAAAATTTTTTTTTCCATTCCATAAATTTCTGCTGTAAATGACTCACTCTAGTAATCAGCGTAACTAAGAGAGAGGTTTTATTGCGAAAATTAAAGAGAAACAAGGACTCTAAAGACTTATAACATGGCCAAGGCCAAAATTAATACATTACAGTTTTATTTGGAACGTCTAATAAATCAGTGTATGTGGCTGGTAAAAATCTTTACAGCATGGTGGAGAGTTTGTCGGCGAGTGTACGATAAGTACTTTTCCAGTACAGGGATGCCTCCTTCGATTCTCTTTTCCTGAGGAATTAACCTCGTGGTCCACTGAGGACATCGCGGACGATGGAAATATTTCTACAACTGCACTTGTACAGGGTACACTTTAAGATTTTAACTGTAAAGACTGAAGCTCCTCGCTACCTCGAACCTCGGGCTGACTCAAACCAAAATTCGATTTCGCCTGGATTTCCTTCATGCATTTACTGTAATTTTACCTACGTTAACTAGAACACTCAATATCTTGAACCGAAGTAATTTTTGTTTCCCTTACAGATCATTTTTATGTGAATTTACCCTTGATAACTCTAACCATGCAAGCACCTAAGAGGTCGAAAAAAAGTGTACTGCAGTCCAAAACGTTAACATTATCTTAACAACCATGTTGTCGTCGTCAGTCAAGCTTAATACATTGTCCAGCACTGGGTATTTATCAAGTATTAAAGTTAATTGCATTCATTCCCCATCCCATTTCCTTATTTTCGGTTATTTGCTTCTAACTACTGATACTTCGATTTTCCTAGATGGTTCGAGTTATCGGAAGTCGACAGTATTTAAGTATCAGAATAAAACAAATAGTCGCGGCGTAATTCACTAAAATATAAATAGAGATTTATCCGGCGGTGGATACGGCTCTCCATCTTTTGAGAGGCTCAGTAGCTCTCCAGACATGATGAGTGGTTGAAGAATGAAGCAACAAATGATACAGCAGAAACAATAGGGCCATTTATACGAGGAAAAATAAGACCCGTCTTACATAGGACGCGTCTTAAATAAGACGCGAACTTTCCGTATAAACGGCACATTTCGTCTAAAATAAGACGCTGCTTAGCTAAGACGCGTCTTATTTTAGAACAGCCCTTAACACCTGTTCTTAGATGGGACGCGTCTTAGCTAAGACGAGAAAAACTTCGTATAAATGACCTTCGCGTCTTAAATAAGACGCGAACGCATAGTACGCATGCGTTAATTTTTGGCGCGCCACGTCGGATTGCCGTTGCTACGGGCAACATTCACACGAAAACGAGTTAAGAACAGAAATAAGACGCGAACCATTTATACGAGCTGTTTTCGTCTTAGATAAGACATGCTCGTATAAATGATAAACTTCGCGTCTTATTTAAGACGCGTCTTATTTTTCCTCGTATAAATGGCCCTAAAATACCTATATCTCAAAGCAAAAGACGCTACTGCTTATTTCCTGTATGTACTACTTTATCTTTTAAACAACAGCTTGGACCTGGTGGTACTACAAGCAGGTGACGGAACATGCTATTTCTAATCAGATGCATGTTGAATGTAAGCCAGATATAGCGATTAGCTATAGGTCACCTGCAACGTAGAACGCCTGGAGCAGATAATCAAAATCTTTACCATTTTTAGACAAAGCGTTATGCTCGACGACATAAAAATTCACACCTTTCACGGATTAAGATGAACTCAACAAATTGGCCTGCTCCAATGTATGGGCTTTATAACTCAAATGGTAGAGCATTCCAGCGCTAACGCAGCGGCCATGAGTTTGAATCCCGTTGAAGTCCCGAAATTTTTTCCGGTTCCCCCGTATTTGCAATTGCTTAAAAATTTCAATTACTACTGCGACAAAATTCGAGTTGACATGTTGGGGCGGGAAAGTTAACTAGCCTCATTGGCCGGAGGAGCGGGGGGGGAAGGAGGGATTTCCTTTCGTTTACTTGCATTAAGTAAATGCCCCGGTCATCGACGAGGAAGAGGGAGGAGGGGTGGGGAACAAAGAACTGGCGATTTCCCGCCAAAAAAGCAGGTTGCCAATACTATTTCCCGCCTAAAGCAAACTTGAATTACTTTATTGGTGACGTCACAACCGTCCATGGGTTAATATAGTTCTTTAATACNAAATGCTTTAGACATATCTAATAAGACCATGATGGAAACTTTCTTGTTATCCATAGCCTGGAGCAACTGATCTGTAACGTACAACAGAGCTGTTTCTGTCGAGTGAAGCTTTCTATTTCCGCTCTGATGTGCTGCCAGTTTATTATTTCTAATTAGATGCTCCATAAGTTGTCCATGTACCAACCTTTCAGTGACTTTTGAGACTATTGGTAATAATGAGATGGGGCGATAGTTGTTAGGGACATCTGGATTACCGCATTTGAGAATAGGTGTAACCTCTGCTGTTTTCCATGCACGTGCAAATGTGTTGGTAACAAAGGAGTTATTCACAATGTGGGTAATTGTTGTTAGCGTACTGGGTAAACTGTCTTTAAGAATTCTAGAAGATATCTTGTCCATTCCAGGAGCTTTGTTAGATGGTAGGCTTCTAATCACCCTTTCTACCTGATTTTCCGTGACTTGATGGAGAACGAATAATTCGGGGCTAACGTCGGTGGATATGTGTAAAGGAGTCGGCACATCCAAATTTACATTAAGTCCATGATGTAAAGATAAGTCCCTGGCTTTTTGAGCAGTAATACTGCCGACGGAAGTGAAGAAATCATTTAATTCGTTAGCTAACCCAGTGGGATCCTCAGAAGCCATAAAACTATCTTGTTGTTTACGTGGTAGACACCGGTTAATGATTTTCCAAATTGAGTTAGAATTTCCATTGCTATCCAGGATCTGAGTCCTGACGTGAACTTTTTCGGCCACACGAATCTCCCTTTTCACTTCTTGACGAAAAAATCTGTATCCGTTCCAGTGGAAAGGGTCATTTGTTTTTCCCGCAAGTTTGCGCCATTGGTCGCGCGTTCTCATTAGTTGACGAATTTCTGGTGTTATAAAGGGGTTAGGTTTAGATCTAATTTTAACCCTCTTGACTGGAGCATGTTGACTTAGTACTTCCAAGAACAGTTCGTTGAATACATCAACTTGATCGTTGAAATCGTCAAATAGGCTTATTATGTGAAAAGGCGCATATGACAAATCACGTAGGAAATTGTCGGCGCTGTAATTAGTATAGCTTCTAATAGTGACGTGACAGGGCTTGATCCTTGGCTTTTTTAACTTCAGCGAGATGTAAACAAGATTGTGATCGCTAATAGTTGACATAAGGACGTCGTTTGAAGCAATTAGTTTCTCATTCGTGATACCTTGCCTAATAAGGTCAATAGTCCCTTGGCCTCATTATTCCGCGCGGCATATGCGTTCTCCTGGTTTCCAGCCCATTTGTCCGCCGGGGAACTGACGACATCATTCTTGGCTTTCCCCTCACTACATCCTCTGCCAAGATAGGCTGGATTTGTCATGCTTAGCGGTGGTAAATTACGCACTTTCCCCTTACCGTATAGTAATAATTTTCACGACTGACCTATCTTCAATGATCTGGGAGATTTAACGGAGAAATTTTGCTAACAGGTAGTTAAAGTAACAAGCGTTAAATTTTTTTAATGAATTTTACTTTAGTCCACCAATCTCTAATCATATCGATCAAGCACAGCTCCTGAAACTGAGCACTAAACTGGAGTTTTTGCCTGATGTTGGGAGTGGCTTCATTCAGACTTTAACTCATTTTTACCTTCAAAATGTCAGCAAACAAGTCTAGGATAAATCGCACTTGCTTCGGTGTGCTAGTTTGTCACGACGATAAAAAATTCGGTGGAATTATTGGTATGGGAAAACGATATATCGATGTATTTGGAAATAAGAGCAACCCTGAGCAAGAAGAATGGCTTATATTTTCCACAGTTTACGGCGAACTGTCGTCGGAAAAAGATTTAGATACTTTCACCGGTTTCTTCATTTCCGGAAGTCCTCTGCTTCCAAACGAAGACCTTAAGTGGATCAACGATTTGAAGACATTTATCCGAAGAGCTTTCCAACACCCTGCTAAGCCTCGTCGTATTGTTGGCGTCTGTTTTGGACATCAGGTTATCGCCTCGGCACTAGGGGGAAAAGTAACTTCCTCTCCGTCGAAGAAATTTGTTCTGCAAAGCGAGAAGATCAAATCTAAGGAACATTTTCGCTTTCAAGGCCACAAAGCTTTCAGAGAGCTTTTCGAGAGCCATGATTCTCTACGATTGCTTGAGTCTCATAGAGATTTTGTTGAAATCCTCCCTGCTAAAGCTCTAAGTTTGGCGAGCTCTACAACCTGCGAACATGAAATGGTTCAGTTCACGGAAAATATATTTGGAATTCAAGCTCATCCAGAATTTAATGTGCAAGATTACAAAGAAGTGATAATTCCTGGTATGTTGGCTAGAGGTAAAATTGACCAAAAAGGACAAAGATTTTGCGAAGAAACTCTTAATCTGCCATTGGATTCAGTAAAAGTTTTGGCTGCATTGAAGAAATTTGCGTCCAAAGAGGATACTTGACAAATAGAAAGAACATTGTAAAGTTGACGAGGGAGTCAGTGCCAAATTATAGCTATTTTTGTCAGAAAGGATAACTGTCTACATTAAGGGAAAAGTTGCATGATATGAGTATTAAAGGTTTATTTAATCCGTTGATTTTTGTTTTGGTCTCTAGGAACAACGTATAAGGTATGGAGAGATCGCAAGCTACGCATGTCACTCGTTTTCATTCTAATAGACATAGGGTGCGTTCCTTTGGAGTGATCCGGATTAGGATCAGTGATCCGAGATCACTTGGATCATGGTAGATCAAATGAACCGATGAATCCACTCTGGACAAGGATTCGTCGGTTCTTTTGATCTACCATGATCCGAGTGATCTCCGATCACTGATCCTGATCCGGATCATCCCAAAGGAACGCACCCAGAGCGATGTGCCCACCATTACAATCTGCGTTCTGCCGCACGATGGGGAACTCTTGATAGTAGTCCTCTAGTCCGAGAGTCTCCATCCAAAAAGGGGACTTGTTTTTGGCTTCCAGGCCCAGTTCTTCGAAGGTCGATTAGCGCTAACCCGGGAGAAAATTTCTAATCCTGGCTTCTTTTTCTTTTGTTCAATTTGAATTGTGACTCTGACGAGTGTTCTGTCTGTGACGATTGTTGTGACCCTGAAGAGTTTTGTTTTTAAGCTTTCATATCTGAATTCAAATTTCGCACTAACCCTGGTTTATCTGAACCCAGTTTTGAACAACCCGGCCCTGCATGGTATTTTAAAATATAACAGGATAGGCGCTTTCATGATCGATAAGAAAGGTTAGGGATTAGGTATTAAAAAAGGCTTTTAATGCCCAAAATATTTCGAATGAGAAGCAGAAGCACGTCAGGACCGAATTTTTTTCTTATTTATTACACGCTACATGAGAATGACAAGACGGTTTCCCTGCTTTAGCGAATTATTCACAAGTTTAGTAATAGCCTGGGAATACAACCGCCTTGAAAGGTACACGTGCATTCTCTCTTGGCATCTTTCAATAAATAAAGATACGCGTATACGGAAGGCATCCCTTTTCGGTGTCAAAAATAGTATATAAATGGGTAAGGTTTAATTACGCCATATGTAGGGCAGTGCCTCCACATATAAAACTTCGTTGAGTATCCCTTAGTCCGCTACACAGCCGTTTTTTAGTGTCGTCACGCAACACTCCTCCCCATTAGTGGGGAGGAGCGTTGCGTGACGACACTAAAAACGGCTGTGTAGCAGACTAAGTATCCCTCGGAGCTTTGTTACCTTCGCTAGTGTCGGAGTCAGAGTCGGGATCGAAGTTGAAGTCGGGTGTCGGGGTCGAAATCGACGTCTGAATCAGAAACACTGTGTTCCAAACCGAAATATCGAACAAATAGAATTCAACATGTAATTTTTGTTTTCTTTGTTTACATTTTTCTATCACTTTTCCTGCTGTAAGGATCAGTTTACCTGTTTTAATTTAAAAATTTGGCCTAAATCAGAGTCGGAGACGGAGTTAAAGTCGAGTTGGCCTTGAAGCTTGGAGCACCGGTAGTAGCTGGAGTCGGAGTCGTAAACGGAATCGGAGGCGGAGTCGTTGTCGGAGTCGGAATCGAAGTCGGAGAGATAGAGAGAGTTGAAGAGTGGAAGTCTGAGTTGAAGCAGAAGAGTACGCGAAGTTGTAAGAGCGCTTATGACCTTGTCGGTGACAATAAAAAATCAGAGTATGAAACGGAATCAGAAGCGGGACAAAATCGGATCACACCCCCACCCCTCCCCCCAATCGGGAAGAATGTCGAAAGAAATTTGGTTAATAGTCTTAATAGGTGGTCACCGCAAACGTGCAGCGACGGAATTAACTTTTAATTAAATTTTCTCTAGTCTACCACTGGTTGTAAAGTTTTCCTTATAGGTTAAAACTATGTTTTTATTCATTTTATTTATCTATTGTAACAATTTACAGCGTTTACTTGTAGAATCGTATCTTGGTATGGTATTAATTTTGTATGGCTTTTAAAATTTATTTTTCTATTTTAAGTAATTTTTCAGGGCGTGATAGCAGGTGCTAAGGTGTTTGAAGCTGAAGGGGCTATTTTGATATGAATAAATAAAGTTCTCTCTCACACGTTCTCTCTCTTTCTAGAATGACGGGCGGCTGGCCCAACCTCGAATTCCCTGCTCGCACAGTCCGTTTTTCGCCGCCGAATACCAGGGAAAAGAGACCTAAAGATATGACCCTGAAATATGACCATCGATACTGTTGCGTAACGTTCAAAATATAGGGATTTGTATGGAAGAAAAACAATTGTTTCTGTTGCCTACGAATGTAAAAGGATTTGAATAAAAATCGGCTAACCTTTAAGTTGTGTGTTTCTTCTTTTCTGCGTGGTTTCCGAGCCCAGTTTTTGGCCATTTAATGGGTGTTAGTTGGAACCGGTTTGCTCTATATGGAGAAAACCGTTTACAGTACAACCCATAAAACGGCCATATATCGGCCCATGGATCACACAGGAGAGACGTAACACACATTTTTAAGCTGTTTTTGATTGACATCCTTTCATTTTCGTAGGTTACAGAAACGATTTAATTATTTTTTTTCCCATACAAATCCTTATATTTCGAATGTTACGCAACATTTCGAGTTTGGGCTGCCTGTGGTATTTAAACATTATATTGCAGCCAAGCAACGTAGAATTTTTCTTCGTCCACCGTTTCGCTTTCCTTTATAGATTGTCTCACATTTTTATCAGTCAAAATGTCAGCCAACACGTTGAGGTTAAACGTTACCCACTACGGTGTGCTAGTTTGCAGTGATAATGAAAAATTTGGTGGCGTTCTGGGTGTGGGAAAACGATACATCGATGTCTTCGGAAACAAGAGGAAGTCTGAGCTTGAAGAATGGCATATATTTTCCACGATTTACGGCGAGCTGCCTTCGAAAGAAGATTTAGATACTTTTACTGGCTTTTACATTTCGGGAAGTGCCCGATCGTCAAACGAAGATTCAAAGTGGATCGAGGATTTAAAAACGTTTATACGTACAGCGGCTAAACATCCCTCAAAGCCTCGCGTTGTGGGCGTTTGTTTTGGACATCAGGTTATTGCGGAAGCTCTTGGCGGCAGCGTTACTGTCAATCCATCCGGGAAATTTGTCCTGCAAAGTGAGAAGATCGAAACAGTCGACCAATACAATCGATTACACAGAGCTTTCAGAGATCTTCTCGAGAACTGTGGTTCTCTACGATTGCTTGAGTCCCATGAGGATTGTGTTGCATCCCTCCCCGCTGGGGCTCAAAGTTTGGCCAGCTCTGCAACCTGCCAACATGAAATGATTCAGTTTACGGAAAATATATTTGGTATTCAGGCTCACCCTGAATTTAACGTGCAAGACATGGTCAAGGCGTTAATTCCTAGTAAGTTAGCCGCAGGCAAAATCGATAAAGCAGGACAAAAATTTTGTGAAGAAACTCTCAGTGAACCATTGGATTCAGCGAAAGTTGTAGCTGCGTTAAAGAAATTTGTCGGCAAGGAAGATGATGATTAAAAATTTATAAAGAGCATGGCTAAGCAGGGGCCGGGAGGCCACTCCCTAAAATGGCTATACACGGCCGGAGATTCCAACCGAAAGGGCTCAAAGGATAAAGAATTCACGAGTTTAAGAGTTATGAAAGGGTAGGAAAAGCTATGACTTTAGCATTTGAATTTAATTCGAAAAGGCGCACCTTATGACTTCATCATGTTGATTTATGAACGTTACACAAAAACGACCGGAAGACTTCCTGTTTTAAGCGATTTATTCTAATGAAGTACAGGGTAGATATATTAAAGGGGCACCACTTTTCAATGCAAGGTATATGAAACGAGTACTTTTTCTGTTAAAAATGGTGAAAAAAAACTTTAAGGGGAAGGGGTTGAACCGCTTGGCGGATCCTCCCCATTTTAAACTTTGTTGGTCCTTGCTTTCAAAATTGACCTTGTTTACCCCCCCCCCCCCCC